AATGACAGCTCTTCACCAAAGTCATCCCATTCTACTAGCTAATCCAGTGCTGTTGGGATTACTAGTTCCCAAATGAAACTCCTGTAAACAAAGGTATATTCCACAGCTGGCCCCTGAGCTATACTTCCTTTATTTCCTTCAGCTGAAAACATGATCACACCATGATATAGTGGACCATGAAGAACTCGGGACTCACTGTTGTCAAGTTTTAAAACCAGCTGATTCACTTCCTATTTTCTAGGATCCATTTTCCAAAACATGAACTAAGTCCTATCCACTGATGAAGTTCTAAGAAGTCACTCATTTTTCCTCCCTCAAGTGAGGATTTCCATGCTGATATTCTTTAAACTGAGGGTTTTACCAATGAACCGATGATAATAATAGTATCAATGATAAACATTTAAGTTGTAAAATTTTCTGTTGAAGTGAGATGAACTGTTCATCTCCAGATATATTCAAGATTGTGGTCAAAATTACATGACTGCAAGCTCTGGCAACCTACTCCAGGAAAGTCTGCCTCATATATATTTTTTCCCAACTTCGCAAAAATAACTAAGGTAGTTGGATGCTCAAATTCCACTAACCATGCACTTCTGTATCCACAAAATCAGAGCCAGATGGCATCATATTTGACAAGTCACTTGGCTTTTATGCGCCTCGTATTTGTTATGGGCAAGATAAAATAATATTTGTCTATCCTGTTGTTCAAAGAGTCTTTGTAATGTAGGCTGCAGTTGTCAGGTGTGCAGGGGTAAGAATAATTGTTTTAAAGAGTGGAGGGAAAGAAAATTGCACAACAGCCTCTCCAAGTGCAATAAGACTCTGTATCTGTGTGACATGCTGCTCGTGTACACAAGCCACTGCTCTCTGGCAAATGCTGTATTTCTATATATGGAACACTTTCAAGTGTCAGAGTGCACCAAACTCATTAATTGAAAGAAAGTAATGTTATTAGGATGATGGTCCAACATGTCTCTGCATGTGATTACATGAAAGACAGCATTAAAGAGCAATGCATTCATAATGCATTCCAGCAGCCAAGTGAGTCAGCACATCTCAGATGGAGATACACAGGTTTCCCTGTGGGAATTTACTGCTCACCATCCACAGCAGCCATGTGTCACACGTGTACAATCAAGATCCCAGACTGTACTACAGATGGCAGTATTTCAAATCAATTTATGACAATGAAAACCATTTTCTGGTGATCAGCTGGAACTTTAAGCCAAAGTGCTGTCACAGAAAAAAAAAACAAACTGCAGAATATTTCAGAACAGTTCTCCTCTTACCTTAGCTTCCACCACAGTTTTGTGCCCAGTTTTACAATACACACAACTACTTCCAGTGAGCTGCTTCCATATGACTGAAGTATAGAGTCTAACACAAACATTCCAAACTGATGCCACTGGAAGTCATTACATTTTTCTTTCTATGGCCATGATAGGAGTTGTAACAGTTTTTTTTCTGAGTAGGTATATACTAATGTAATCCATACAACTGACTGGAAGCAACACAGTACTAAGGGTTGGTCAAGCTTTCTAGCAGAAAATTCATTACTTTCAGAATATAGGTTGTATTGATCTACAGCCTGTAAATCAGTATTTGAATCCATTGTAAAGGAGTCATTTATTTTTTGATTCCTGAGAAAAAATGTTTTCAAAATGTTTGAGATGGATCAGGTGTGTGAAGTTGTGCTGTCCAACAGTCACATAACTTATCCCTTTCCCAGGGTGCTGTGTCCACACCTAACTGGGCAGCACAGATTCCAAAAACATCTATTTTCCCATCATCTTCTGGCTACCAAATTATTCTTACTGTATTTTAGGAAACCAACAGGAGGAAGTGGACATGAGTGGGAAAATTGGTGGCTTTGTAGGTATGAAAGAAACAAGCAGAACTCTGTAACACTTGAAAGGCCAGAGAAAACCAGAAGAGAGTGAGCTTCATTGGAGAAGCACAAGAGAGACAGTTAACCTAACTGCAGTCTTTGGGAAGGTAACAGAATGGGTTATTAAGCAGTCACTCATTGAGTATCTAAGACAAAAATATGAAAATAAAAAGCAGATAATATGAATTTGCCAAGAACAAATCTTTTTCTGACACAGTGAGCATGGGAGAAGCCACAGATGTGACAAATTTGGCTTTGATTGGGCTTTTAATCTAAGTCACCTGAGAGTCTGACAAGCTGCATAGGGAATTATGGCCTAAACCGAAGAGCAGTTATGACAACTATATGAAGAAATAATTAGAAGTACTTCTCTTGCAAACTGGGAGTCAAATGGGGTTACACAATGATCTTTCATGCAGCTAGCTTTATTTCATATTTTCCTTATTTCACTGACAATGAACTAAGAAAGCACACTGTCAGAATCTGGGCTGATAACTAACATGGGAAAGATTGCAAGCAGTTTAATAAACACAAGCTGGATACAAAACGATGATCCAAAAAATTCTTTAGAGACAGACGCAAAGTACTACGATGACCATGAAAACAAATTCAAATACAAGGGGAAAAATTAGCCAGACAATAAAAACAAAGGAAAAAAATCTGAAAGTTACATTGAGCTATAATTAGAGAGTGAGAGTGCAACGAGCTACAGTGCAAACTTGGCACTATGAAGATCTAAGATGCAAGAAACAGGTATTTTGCCCTGTTCAGCAGCAGTGAAACACACAGCAGCTGGCCAACAATGTACAGATTGAACACCACATTTAGAGAAATCTGCAGAGTGGAAAAAAATCTAAACTTTAAGAACACATGATCATTAGGAAAATATTAGGATAACAAAATTTGTTTAGCGTAGAATAATGTGAAAAGAGGAAAGGGCAAAGCTGTAATCTTCAAGTTCTTCTGCACGTAAAAGACAAAAATGGAATATCTTTATACCCACTAAGGATAGACCAAGTAATCACTGGCATCATTTGCAGCATAGAATATAAAAAAAAAAGTTGATGAACTATAAAAATCATCATGTAATGGCATTACATCAACAGATCATGCAGTTCCTGTCACTGAAGCCTTTTCAAAACAAATTAAACAAATTCCCCATGAAACGTTTTGTTAGAGGTTGCTATAACATTCAACACTCCTTTAGTTAATCAGTTAATTTAGCGTCACCTCAGAAATAAAGAGAGGTTAGAAACAGATCACACTCATAGCGACAGTCAACTACAACAAAGCCAAGGTTTTACCCAAGTGACACCTGGGTGAACTCAGAAAGCAGGACTTCTGCCGACATGAGTAAATTCGAAATGGGAATGGAAAATGACAATTTTACCTGGATTAAACAGAAGACCTGTAATCCCTGTACTTGAAAATGAACAGTGGCTTGAGTTTATGTTCGGAAAGGAAGGTGCAAACAAAGCTGCTACACAGGATGGAAAAGCTGGGGCAAACCTGAGCTGCTTGAGCACACTAGCGGGTGCCTCAGCCATGCTCTTATATGTATCTTGCATATGTGTTTAAATACAAAATACAAAATTTGAAGTTGTTGCATTTTAATCAGCTTTTCAAAGGATGTTTATGCACACGGTCTTCGGCAAAGGGGATTCCCTCAGTTGTTTCACCAGCGCAAGCTGTGTTTTCACCAGTGCCCCTGCAACCCCATCCCGCCACCTTCCTTACGTTACTGAACAGACGATCCGGGCAAGAACAAAGACTGTCGCACCTGAAACACATCCCCTCCTTAAAATCCACCAGCTGCCTTCCCGCTGGCCCCTTCCCAATCCAGGGCGACCGGGACGCGGGAGCCGCCTCCCAGCTGGGGACCGCGGAGACCCAAGGGCCGTTTAAAATTACCCGCTGATTGCGCCTGGCAACACCCCTCAGAAAAGAGCGAGGGGAAGGGCTAGGGCAGACCTCGGGCCAGAGCAAACCTCACCGGGCTGAGCGGGGGGACAGCGCCGGCACCCCCACCCCGCCCTGCCCCGCTCCCGGGAGGGCGGCCCCTAAGGGGAGCCCCGGGCGGGCCCCGCCGCCGTTATTCCGGCAGCTCGGCGCCGCCCGCCCGGGGCTGAGCTTCGCCCTGCGGGAAGGGGCCGGCACGACAGCCCCCGGCCCCGCTCGTCCCGACCTCCCGCCCCCCAACCGGCTCTCCCCCGGCGGCGGCGCTCACCATGGCGATGGCGGCGGGCGGCCCTCCCGCCTCACCCTGGCTGCCGCGAGCGCGACGTGACGCCACGCGAAGCCCCGCGCCCTGGCAACCGAAGCCCCCGCCCCCAGCGCCACTCGGCCA